ATGGTCAAGAATGTCTGGGGGACAAGAATGAGACTGGAAGGCCCAGGTCAGGTGGCAGGGCAGCTTCACAGCCGTCCTCCTTCCCCCCTGTCATTATGTTCCAGGTGCTTTCTATAAATATTTATCTTGCTCTTCGCAACTGCTCTCTGCATTTTACAGAAGACACTGAAGTTCTGAGGGGGAAATCATTTGCCCAGGGGCACACAGCTGGTAAGAGGCCGAGCCCTGCCTGGAATCTGGGCCTGCCTCCAAGCTTACTGCAGCCAGATCAATTTCCTAGAAGCAAACCCTGCTGAAAGCCAGTTCCTCCCACCCCCCAGCTGCCTGAAGCCTCCAACACAGCCCAGACTCCACGGTGGGAAAGTTCCCCCACCTTCCCTCAAACCACTGGCAGACTCCCTGCTTCTGGAGACTGCCTTGTGTCTAACAATGACAGGCTCACCCCCTATTGTCCTGCTATTCTTGTACCTCCAAGGGCGCTCAGCTGAGAGGTCTCCCGGCCTTTTGGGATCTCAGTGTCCTGACCTCCGCCCACTGCAGCACCCATCACCCTGTGTTGTAACTGTTGGCTTGCCTGTGCTTCCTTCTTCCCATCCCCACCCGGCGCTTCCTAAGGACAGGCGCCGTGTGTACACATCTCTGGACCCCCAAACCCAGCATGGAATCGATGTTAAGGAAATAGTTGAATGGCGAGGTAAGGAGCCAACTTGTAAGGAGTAGAGGGAGGCGAAGGAAGAGGGCTCCCCCGCTTCTGTTCCCTCTTCTTTCCTCCCTAGCAGTCTTTTCTGGGGCACACTGGGTGAGGCAGTTGCCACCATGGACACTGACCAAGTTACTCATGCTTTATGAGGAACCCGAAAAGCAGGCAAGCACAGCTTGGAGCAGAACTGGCCAGAAATCTATACCTCCCAGTGCTGGCATAGGGGGTGGGGGTGGGCGGTTGGGTGGGTATGCTTTGGTCAGGGGTAAAAGCAGCTTTGAGTAGGGAAACTGGGGCTCCTTATGGGCTATGGACTTGGCGGGAGGGCTTGCCTTCCCTGAGCTGCTTGGTGGGGAGTGCAGAAGAGGGGGTAGGAACTGGAAAGGCAAGCTCATCTGAGCCTCCTAGACACTATTTGGAGCTCCGGCTCACTCTCCCACGCCCCCTCCCTGAGACCCCAGGTGCTAAGAATGCCGGTCTCAGGGTCTCAGGGTCGGGAGGGAGATTAGTGGTGGGAGGATATGCTATTTCCTACCAGGGAGAGGCAATACCTGCCATAATCCCAGGAGGGGCTCTCAGCTGACATCTTGGGACCAGACCATCTTGATGTCACCCCCCTGCAGGCATCGTGATGCCCATTCAGGCCAGCCCTGCGGGCTGGGCCTCACACTCAGGAGTGGGGACCTCTTCTGCAAAGGGTTTCCACTCTCTGGACTTCAGGAAGACAAGAAGCTTCTCTGAGCAGCAGCCCTGCCCTGGGAGGACAGTCGCCTCCTCTAGGAAACCCATCCTCGCTGCCCAGACACTAGCCCTCTCTCTTCCTACCCTTTCGGGCCCAGCTCGGGAGCACCCTGGCTCATGCCACCCCTGCCTGCCCATGTTGGCTTGCTGAATCTACAGGCATGGTGACTGTTCAAATACAAAGATGTTTCCTCAACAAAGGCCTTGAAAATTCTTATTTGTGAATCACTTTGTTGACAAAGAAAACTCTGAGTTCACTAAATAAAAAGCTTGAATGGGTAATAGAAATGTGGGTACAGATCTATTTTCTTATTGCTCTTAACTTGTCTCAAGGATGCTTTTGCAGTGGTGGCCCCACAGGCTGATACCCATACAGGACGCTCACACCTTTGCAGAACCCTCTATGCCAGGAGGGTCCAGCTCCTTTTGTGTGTTTTGGGGCCTCCGCACAAAGAGTAAGGAGTTCTCACACGTGTCTGGCTGCAGGGAGCCTCTTGCAGTCCCTGTGGCTGGAGGTGGCCCAGCCCAGGAGCCCCAGCATCAGTGTGAGTGTGAGTTGTGGGCTGGGCTGCAGAGCCAGTGCCTGCAGCGAAGTCCAGGAGCTGTAGCTCAAAGGGTACCCGACAACGCTCCAAGCCTCGCCCGAGCAGGGGAGCCGCATGGACTCCCCGCTACAAAACCCCCAGACTGGGGTCCTGTGGCCGATGGAGGAGGCATTTGCAATGTACTTATCACCTAAACAAATGAGCAAGAGAGGAAGGAGAGAAAGACACTTCAGCATGCAGAGCTGGGTGCCTAGAAGACGCAGGTGCCAACTCAGAAAGGAGAAGGCTGAGATGGGGGTGACCAAGGGGTCCAGTGCTCATTCGGTTTGAGGCCTGTGGGTTTTAAGGTGTTTGTGGCCAGTCTGGCAGTTGAGAAGCTGGGATATGGGTCAGGACCTCAGCGGAGCAGTTGGGCCAGGCCAGCAGGCTGACCCAGGTTTTTAGTTAGAGGTTGTTGGGGAAATAAACGAAGACAGCTTCCAGGGGGTAAAACCATACCAAGCCAATGGGAGCAGATCCAGATCAGGTGACCAGAAAGGCGGACAGGCTCACATGACCAACAATGGTCAGGATTACGTGGTACCTCTCTCAAAGATCACCTCACCTCGGACCTGGGAGAGGTCTTCCCCCGGTACTGGGCTCACGGAGTGTCACCGAGGGGACACTCCTGCAAGGCAGTCTCCCTGCCAGGCTGAGTTTCTGGGTCCCAGGCATGGTCTTGCATTCAAGCACCCCAGAGTAGGTCTGGCCTGGCAGTCATTCTGGGAAGTCCCAGGGCTCTCCCGGTCCCCAGCGCCCCTCCCCCCTTCTCCCCGAGACTCGCCCCGCGCGGTGCAGGAAATGCGGGATGCTGCGGACCCCTGGAGGAGGCGGCGGCGGTGTGGTCGGATCACATACCTGAGTCTTCAAGCTCTGAGAGTCCAGACACGCGAGAGAGGAGAGGCACTGGCCTGGGACCGCAGGGGGCGGCAGAG